TATTGGACTTACGGTTGGGGTTGAGTTTAATGTTGGGGTTAGGGTTCTGCTTTGGATGAAGGCTAGATTAAAGATTAGCGTTAAGACTAATCTTGCCCGTCACATACCGTCTTACCCACTCCGGTCTTCTTTGACCAAGAACCTTGATTTCCCTGTTTTCCACCCGTTTACACGTCGCTAGTTTGCAATTTTCAAGTTGCGCAATCTGTTTGGGCAGCATGTTGGAGTTATAAAACACATATGTAGGGGAAATGGGAGTTTTCTCAGTGTCATCGATGGATTCCGTTAATTGCTGCGTCCATCTGACCTACTGAGAAAATTTATGTCGACATCCTTTACGTGTTACAGGTGTTTCTGTGATCGTTTATTATTGAACTTACTTATTCAATTTTCGCCGACATTTATTTTCCCTATTATTAAGAAGAGATAGGTGGTTGGCCTAAAACCAGTCCAAACTTCCCACTCAGTCCCGACGCTTTGGGGACAGTCAACAGACAACCCCGTTAGCCAGTTAACTGTATGCGAACCAAGAAATGACGACAGTAGTAATCAATTCGGAAAGAGCGGAAATCGATTTTGTCGGTATTTCACAACGTGCCATCAAATGCAGCGATTTTGATGACTGCGCGTACATCCAAAGACCGCTTGGACAGAATTGGAGCCTTTAATGCTGTGTTGGCGGCTAGAATTCTGTCCTGAAATGATTTATCCAGACGTAAATTATTTTTGTAGAATTTGTCAAAATTTGCACAAAGACACGCCGTGGTCTTACACTCCAAAGGTATGAAGTGATGTCTGTACATGCAAACAGTTTTCCTAAAATGTTATTAATATAGGGTCTTTCAGGCAACCTCGACGTGTCTCAACCTCTGGGTTAACTCGTCAAAGTGCATCTTGTAAGTGGGGCTCAATCCTCCGTTCTGGGTTCCCTAACTTTCAGAGTAGAGGTCAGATCTGAAGAACTCATTGGTAAAACGCAAAGTTGCGACTCCGTCCAAATTCGCTTCTCAGTTTCCAACATCTTATAGGTACATCGTACAGAAGAGCTAAAAATTTAAACACAGCCCCCCTTCCCCTAAAGAAAATTAAATAAAAGGAATTCTCTGGTACGACAAAATTCCCCTGTTGTAGGACAAGTCAGGCTCCAGTCACAGAGCCCTGACGCATGCTCAACGAAGTTTGCGCATGGAGCCGGAATACAAATTACGAGAACTCACATTGCAATGAACAAGAAATAAATAAATGACGTGCTATAGGTAGTTCTTACGTCTTCGACTCATCGCAGCACGAAACAAAGGCTAACTGAATTGTACAAAAAACCTACGGCATGGTACAGGACTCAAGTGTCTGTTTCGCCGGGAGGAGTTGAAATTTGTCCAAGTAGCTTACCGAAACAATTTTAGACAGCGCAAATCCCCCACCGAGGAGAATGAGGACACCCCAACAGGTGCGGCTGTTAGCGACTTCCCAAGAAATGATATTGCTGTTAATCCGCTTTCGGGCCTCCTTATCTGAAATGAAAAAGATCGCCAAACGTAGGGGAATGGAGCTCTTGTTACAGTACTTAAACGTCGATTGATGATTTTTTGGCCTCTGGAGTGAAATAAATTATTTCTTCTACTCTAAATAGTTCCGTTTTCGACAAAAGTGCGAATTCCATCAATAAGGACATCTGTCCAGCGAAGGCCACACAGATCAAAACAAGGAAGTCTGATTCCCTAATTTAACAATGAAAATTTATCAGAATCTTAAATTTCTTTTAAGACGGAGAGAGAAGACTGTATTGGGGCAAAAACTTAGTCCGTTTCGTCGCACGTGGCTCAGTCAAATTACAAGGACCAGCCTTTATCGTTGGTTCGTAGGTCTTGTACTCAACTAATTCCTATTGAAGACGAAATCAGACATTCTAGGAAGATAATATCTCGTATAATTCCTTTGGTTGAATCTATTGTCATGATAGGATATTTTACGCCAAGTGGCTCTCTATTGACTGTAAGCCAACACTGAAAATTTGATTCTCTGGACATACGGTAGATAGCCTACTCATGAAATGTTGATTGAAGTTTAAAAATGTGTTTTCAGATAGAAAGCATTACTTAAGGGGGTTGTAATATTGATTACCATGTGTCCCAATTGCAAGATATTCCAGTCACAACAGGATGTCGGCTTTTAAAGGAACTACTTTACGGCAGTCTTCAAAATTTCGATTAACAAAAAGGGCTAATCAAGAAGTATAAAAGTGTCGCAATGTTTCTCGATGCTCTTATAAATTCACAAATGTTTATAGAAAATACTCCCATTGGAGGTAGATGGTGCAGGAAGATGCATTTGGTGTTGAAAACTGACATTTTCCAGCACTCCCCGAGAGAATCAATAACAATCACAACACGGACTCGCAGATGAGGCGCTCGACCAAAGGAGAGTGTGCAGCCAAATCAATGATGAGAAACTCCCTCCAATCCCTGAGGCAAGTTAGAAGGCATGAGGGTCTTGGTTTTGTAAAGGGCCATATCCAACAAACAGCAAATAATCGGTCGCACCAGTATACAGAGCAGAGGAGGATTCGTCAAAAAAACAATCCCTTAAACTGAATAATCTATTTGTTGCGTCGGCAACGCATCGCGAACGAGTACGATGTCATGCGAACCCTCGATAAGTTAAACCTAAGGATCAACCACGAGTTACGAGGAATGGGAAATAGTTGTTAACGCATGCGAGGCACTGAAGTCATGATAGGTCGCAGAGGCTCAACTTCGCTGCCAGCTACAGTGAGTGACCAATCTCATGAAATGTTGGCTGAAATTCTGAAATGTGTTTTCGATTAGGAAGGATTACTTGGTCGCGGTTGTAATACTAATTGCCTTGCGTCATACTCTTATAACATTTCGGACTCGGCAGGATGTCGGATTTAAATGCACTTCTTTTCAATCTCCTGTAGAAAGCGTACTGGGTAAAAAATGACTACTTATGTAGCATGCATTTTTCCCTTTGATTTTCGATGGTCTTGGAAATTCAAATATATTTTATAGAAACCATAAACAAAAATATGCTTTCTTTTAGTCAATCAATAGAGAATCACGTCTTCTTTAAATTTTATACTTAAGCAAGGAGTATAATTAGGTTTTAAAAAAGTTTTCTAATTGCCGAATAATTTTGAGCCTGATCATTCGTTGCATTAGTGCTTAGTGATTTCACTCTACAAGGTGCATGCGTTCCGCGTAAAGAAGATTACATATTTTTCTATGCCATTAAAGAGATATCATACAGATTCCATAAAAATATACAATGGATGCGGACCATGTTGTACATTTCATGAGGAGCAGTGGTAAACGGCCAGGTACGATGCTATGTGAATGGACATTTCGCGGTCTTAAAAAGTCTCATAATTAGAAACTTTTTTAAAGCCTAATTATACTCCTTCCTTAAGTATAATATATAAAGAAGACGTGATTCTCTATTGATTGACTAAAAGAAAGCATATTTTTGTTTGTGGTTTCTGTAAAATATATTTGAATTTCCAAGACCATCGAAAATCAATGGGAAAAATGCATGCTACATAAGTAGTCATTTTTTACCGAGTACGCTTTCTGCAGGAGATTAAAAAGAAGTGCATTTGAAAGCCGACATCCTGCCGAGTCCGAAATGTTATAAGAGTATGCCGCAAGATAATCAGTATTACAACCGCGACCAAGTAATCCTTCCTAATCGAAAACGCATTTCAGAATTTCAGCCAACATTTCATGAGATTGGTCACTCACTGTAGGTGGAATCCGGACTAGATCTTGGTCGATGGCAAAACTTTAGCGGGTCGTGTGCCAGCCGCAAGTTGGATTCGTATAGGTATGACGTAACAGCGCTGTCTATTTTGGAAGCCCAGGGCTCGATCCACAACATGTCACATAGTAGGAAACGCGGCAGTGGTTCAGGAGGTGAGAGAGAGAGCATGAGTAGCTGTAAAGCGTACGCCTGCAAATGCATTCACAGGTAATGTACAGAATAACTATCAACAGTTCATGGAGGGCGAAAATAATGTTCGAAACTCCTCATGCATTATCACGTGAAAGAGATATATCAGCTGCCTTGAACGCATTGTAAGGTCAATTAATGGGAGCCCGCGACATTGGACCGTCCGCAAAGGTAACTAGTCGTTCACATTCCACAATCAACCGGTCATCGGATTAACTTACCTCATGCCTGTGAAGTTTTCCTCCTTAAATGCCACTGACAAAAGAGATGAGATCAAAAAGAAGAGCTTGCGTCGGACTAATATCTCTCATGCTCATCCCCGGTAATGACCCTGAGTGTACAGTAGGTGGGCTAACTCATGAAATGTCAACCGAAATTCCGAAATGTATTTTCGTTTCGTGTTAAAGTAGCACGAACATTTCTCATTGGTTTTCGATGCCCCTAAATATCCACTTATATTTCATGGAAAACATGTATAACAATATTCATCCTTTTGCTCATTCGGTAGGTAATTACGTCCCTTTCTAAAATTATATTAGAAGGAGGGACATAATTCGGTTTTAACAAAGTTTTCCGATTCCCGAATAATTTTGAACCCGCTCTACCGTCACACTTGGATTCAGGGTTTCCAAACTACAAGCCGCATATTTTTCGCGCACGGAAGACCACATATTGCTCTACGGTAATAAAGGGGAACTATATAGGGTTCATAAAATTAAGCAGTGGATTTGAACGATATGGTTAAATCCAAAACGCACATTGATAAATGAAGAGATATGACGATTTATGAACGGTTATTTCACGGTATTTAAAAGTCTAACAATCAGAAACTTTTTTATAACCGAAATACGTCCCTTCTTCTAGTATAAAATTAGAAGGAGACGTATTTGTCTACCGGATAAGCAAAAGAGTGAATATTGTTATGCCTGTTTTCCATGAAATATAATTGGATATTTAGGGACATCGAAAATCAACGAGAAAAAGTCGTGCTACATAAGCAGTCGTTTTTTTACAGAATGTAGTTTTTGCATAGAACTGGAAGGAAGTTCATTCAAAAGCCGACATCCTCATGTAACTAACTTATTATAGAATTATGTTGCAGACTAACTGGCTTAACAACCCTACTTAATTAATCCATTTCGAAATGAAAACCCATTTCGGAATTTCGGTGGACCTTTCATGAGCTAGTCCACCTACTGTATTTGAGTGTGAAACTTGTGAGAAATAAGTTATCCTTTGCGCCTGTCTTCATCATCCATAACTGTAGTCGAAAGCCCGATCTGGACGTTTTAGAGCTTCTTAAACTCTCGGTATAGTAGACAGCGTTTTGTTTAATGCCTAGGAGGATGCTCTATTCGGTCATGCAAATTACATGATTTTCGACATTCTTTGGCCAACGAGCGCTACTATAATGACAAAAGCAGTAGACTAACCGGCGCTCTTTCAATTTCCAGATGGAAGTGAAGTGTCGCCTCCAAGTGCGTTTACTCACCTGTTTCTGTTTCGTTCTTGTGAAGACGAAAAGGGTTTGTCGCGGGTATAATGAAGGCCAGGATGGTGAAAAGGATCGTAGGTTGTGTGTCGTCTACGTACCTTTATAGAGAAAGCAAATTCTGTTATGGTAAATCTACATGGCGCTCGGCGGGCTAGCATGGTTACAAGACGACATATGGCGACTGCGCTTTGCCATAGAGTGTCTCTCCAGAGAGTTCTGGAGGGCAGAAACATGGCAATCAAAAATCAGCAGTCGAGACGTCCTGCCGAGAAAAAGAAATGACAATGAAATCACTATTTATAACATGTTTTCCATCGGTGATAGAAGCGAACAGGCGAGTTCCAGGTTGCAGTTCAGAAGAAAAAGATGCGATCACTGGAACACGAAATTTACTGGCTTGACGTTTCGGATTCTCACTCGAATCCATCATCAGAGACATTCGCAGATAAAGGTGATTGTGACACAAGGAATGCAGTATTTATAGCACATGGTTGCCGTGGGACCATATGCTCACTGTAATTAACAGCTCTCGCAATCACCGCTGCTGGGGTCGTAATTGATGCGGTGGTGACTTTTCAGTCCGACTCCGAGTCGTTAATGGCCGTGATTTCGTCCTCCGGGTTGGATGCTGGTGTGACGATTGCTCGGCAAATTGTCTCACTGTCATTGGGATAATTGCTCGCCCGCGCCCTCCCCACGTGACTGATTCCCCTGCCCAGGGAAAATCTCAGCACGGCATATGGTACCGGGAGGTCATTGTGCTTGTTGATGGATGACGAAATCACGGCAATTAATGACTCGGACTGACAAGCCACCACCGCATCAATTACTGTGAATTTTACTCCTCATCACGCGAATCACATTATTTGTTTCGGGCTTCAAACAACTGAGTGCTCTAAAGTCTCGCTGCAAAGTATTCTACCGCAATGCACCCTCCCCTAAGCCCGGACGAACTATCCCGCGGCCACTCGACCGGCTTCAACGCGGACGCGGCTCCGTCGACCTTCGCCCTGTTAGTCGCCACTTGACCTAGTGATCGCTGCACCTCAACACACACACCCCGATTATTAGAACCCCCGCGAGTTCATGGTGTGTCAGCTGCGACCAGAGATCCTTGCATGTAGAATGGACTGATCCGGTCTGAATTCAAAGGTGAGTTTCGGTACTCCGTCTTGCCCTCATAGATTGGGGACGCAGCCAAAAAACGGCGGTTAAGATCGACTGGCCATTTCGTTCTTCGTCGGTGATCTTCTTCAAGTAAGCGATCGGTCTGGTTAAACATTTGTAACTTACATCACAGTTCTTCCTCTGGAATCATTTCCAACTGGCATGAAACGAGACCATCCGGGCACACCGGGCTCCCGTGTAATCCACAGGCCAATTAGCAGTATGAACAAGGCCATGCAGGCTATTTCGCCAAACCTAGAATATAGATAATAATTGTTTATTAAAGACCCGCCGGGGTCCCATCAAAACATGAAAAGTTTGGCGGACATACGTCATTTGAAAAGACTAAGATAACGACAGTGCATGAGTACAGCATACGCTGAAAGAATATAATTTTCGTTAGCCAAGATCTACAATAGATACGCTATCTCATGAAATATTATCCGAAATTCTAAAATATGTTTTTGACTCGAAAAGATTGCTCAAATAGGACTGTTATACTAGTTGTCGTGAGACATACTTCTAGGATATTTCAGTCACAGCAGGATGCTGGCCTTTGAATGAGATTCTTTTCCGCTGTCTGCAAAAACTGCGCCTTATCAAAAATGACCACTTATGTAGTATGAATTTTCCCCTTTGACTTCACAAATCTTCATAGATAATATAAAACATATGCACAAAAATATCCTTTGTTGTAATAATTTGGTGGCAAATTAGGTCTTCTTCAGCTTTTTTGGTTTTAAAAAGATTTCTAATTAGAAATATCTTCTAGACTGTGAAAATCCCATTCATAAAGGATGACACCGGCACGTTTACTAGTGTTATATATGAGATATCAAACCTGGTTCCCAAACATTGCGCGATTTTGAGCGCCTTTCCAACAGTATAGACAAATGTGGGATATTCTTTTGACGGAGTGTAGGCGGCATGTAATTTAAAGACATTGAATGCATGATGGTATGGGGCGCTCACAGATCGTTCTTACGGAATTTACTCGTCCCGTTTTGCCTTACGGGCTTTCTCTCGAGCCCAACCAGCAGCCGCACAGCGGCGCATGATATAGGCAGTATGTTATTACCGACAAAGACAAGGGAGACTGAGATGGCCATTTCTGGCTTATTAGCCGTCGTCAGCTAGTCATACCAAGCCCCGAAGTGTGGAACACCCGAGGCACAAACTCGCGACCTGTTAGTTAGAAATCCACGCCTATAACCACTGGGTAACGAGCCCGTTGCCCTGTCGGCAACAATAGATGGGGCAAAAAATTATCTGGAAATTAAAAAGGTGTTAAAAAGGAAAAAATACCCATCTTTCAAGAGGAAAATTTTAAAAAGGCGTAATTTTCTATGAAAGCGTACGCGGTTTCCAAAAATATAATTGAAATCATAAGGGCATAGAAAGTGAGCTGAAAACGCCGTACTACTTAATTAGTCATTTTTGCAGAGTGTTTTTTCGCAGACGGCTGAAAAATGTTCATTCAGGAGCCAGCATTCTGATGTGTACATAATAATTAATATTACAACCTTACGTAAGTAGCCTTCTCGGATCGAGAACATATTTCCGCATTCGAGTTTACATTTAATGAAATAGCACATCTACTATAATATTATTTCAGACACCAACTGATTTAAGTGCGTAGTAGATCTGTAAGACTATGCTGCGTGGAAAGCGAAATCCGGCAAGCTTAAATATATTCATAATGAACGAGGTGTCATAAGTCAGACTGAAGAATCTACCGTCTCTAAGAAAGTCACTTTTTCACATAAACACTTACTTCATGGGACCCAGAACTCGTCGTTCCTCTTCGGAAATTTTTTTAACGATTGCAACAATGTCCATCGGGATTTCTTCATCATCCTCCTGGTCACTGCTATTTTCTAGTTCCTGCAACTTCTCCGTGCTTTTTGCCGGGGTTGGTTCCTCAGTGAATTCGACAGGATGTTGCTTTGGGGCCTCTTTCTTTTTTCCGCAACCGCACTTGAAGAATGTCCTCAAGGAGACAGAAGTAAGTTTAATATTGTAGCCTTAAGAATACACCTTGATTTGAAATGCTTAAACCGTCTACGTCTGATGATAACACTTACTTGGGTCCGAGAAACAGTAAGCATATAGTAATCCAAGTAGAAATCAGGCAGAGTAGAGACATGGGGAGTCCGTAAGCCATCCATGATCCGAAATTTAGCGAAATTTCGCTCCCAAATCGGCTAAAATTAGGTAAGAAATAATTCAATTTCGCTGGACAACATCATGAAAATCCTTACTACTTTTCTCCGCAAACGCCAGTCTATGGTCGCACTAAAACTTCTCCCTTTCAAACGGGTAAGATGTGAGACACTCCCGGCCGCATTTCAATGAATTCTTACCTGACTGCAAGACCATAAAAGATGATATTCGGCGGCGAACCAATCAAAGTTGCGATTCCACCACAGCCAGCAGCGTAACAGACTGACAGGCTGATTCCCGTGGCAAAGCGTCGTAATCGATTTCGGCCTTTTCTCGTCTCTCTGAAAGTGCAATTGGACCATTTGAACACATGTCACGGACTTCCGCATAGTGTTAAACGTCGGGGAAGAGTGAAGTGAATGGGATATTAAAGCTACTTCGGAACATACCCCATTTCCTCCTTTATAACTGGCATTTCAGAGGAGGCTATAAAGAAAAAAAATATAGTTTTGTCTCTTAGAGGGCCTGACGAACAAAGATGGGTAGTTTTGCTGTACTGCTATTAGAAATTAATAAAAATTTTTACCCCCAGTGGCGTCGTCCAGTTTTGTTAAGAGCGCCTCCACGATGGTAATCATCATCACAGTTGTGGCTGTGTTACTCATCCACATTGAGAGAAACCAGGTGGGAAGCATCACGCTCAGTATTAACCTAAATAAGATAAAAAAATTAAGCGTATAATTTCCATGTATTCGGTAATAGAGGAAAGATCTAAATGAGTCCATTGAGGTAATGTATTCGAGCATAAGTTGTAGGGAGAGGGATAAGAGTGATGCCACTCGGTGTTATATGGGCAGGGTTCCTTACTTGATCAGGGTGTTTTTAACTTCACGAAAAAAGTGGCTAATGAACTTCGTTTGTTCTTACACTTATCTATCAAGTTTGGTATCATTTACACTTCTGCTTCTTTCGAAAATCTACATACGCCTGACCGGAATGATACTTGTGCACAACATGACACACTTCAGTGACTTTCCTGTTTACGGTTCTACGGTTTTATGAGTACCGTCGAAAAAAGGAGTATCCTGGGCTTTCTAGTACAGATCCACGGGCCTTCTCTCTTCATCTGGTTTCACAGTGGGCATTTACTCATTATTTAAAGACCCTTACTCCGGCATCTACTTCAACGTTTCGCTGCCTACCTAGGGCATACTTACGGGTACACATCTGCGGCAGTCATTTTGTGGCATTCTGGGATCATGCATGCTGTTCTCTCATCGTGTCTGGCTGTTGCCTTAGACGGAGGGGTTCCGTTTGATGTTCGGCCAATCTCCACTACCCAAACCGGCCAATCGCCTAGAAAGCTGACGCGGACGTGCCCTCGCTAAAGACGCTCGAACGACTGCCTCATGGCAAGAGTCTGCAACCCTCGCCTGGCTGCCACCTTGCTCGTACATATTACATCTCCGATTTTCCCTTCACTGGCAACTATCTTCTCCACCTCGGAACCCCGTCTGAGGTTAGCGTCTTCCCCGACCTGAGCTCGGGCAGCTTAATAATCCGTGGCGTGCTGAGTCAGTTACTTCCCCTCTTCACCCCCCGCATGACAGTTTTATCGTCGACTGTGACTATGTCCATCGCGTGTTCAACAGCAGCTTGAGACCGGGCACGGTGACTTGCGCGTGAATTAGTTTATAGTGAGAGTAGACTTGCGCATGATCTATTGCACTCTCTCTTCCCCCCATCTGGGCCCGGTGTTAAGAACAAGTCAAGAAGACCGGAGGCGGGAGAGACCGCAGGTGAATGGCTTTATAGAAAGTTCTAGACGGCTAGCCCATGCGCCGCCGTGTTGTAGAAAGTTCTAGAAGGCCCGCCCCTAGCCCCTACAGTAGGTGGGCCAACTCACGAAATGTCTGCCGAAATTTCGAAAAGCCTTCTCGTTTCGAAAAGATTAATTAAGTAGGGTCGTAAAACTAATCATTATGCAGTATAATTCTATAATAATCCAGTTACCTCAGCGTGTACGCTATCGAATGAACTTTTTTCCGACTGCATGCAAGACTTAGACTCCGTAAAAAAGTGACTACGTAAGTAGCATGCATTTTTCTCATTGATTTTCGATGCCCTTAGAAATTCAATTATATTCCATGGAAAACATGCATAGCAGTATTCATTCTTTTGCTCATTCGGTAGAAAATTACGCCTTTTTCCGATTTTATCTTCGAAGCAGGGGCATAACTCGGTTTTTAAAAAGTTTCTAATTGTGAGATATTTTAATACCGTGAAATGGCCGTTCATAAAACGTCATGTCTCTGCATTTACCAGTGTGGCTTGTAAAGTTAACAATGTTACTGAAATGCACTGCTTAGTTTTAGGAACCCCACATTGTCTTCTCCTAATACCGTAGAGAAATGTATGGTTTTCCGTACGCGGAAAATATACGGCTTGTAGTTTGGAAACCCTGAATCCAAATGTAACGGTTGAAGCGGGATCAAAATTATTCGGGAATTGGAAAAGTTTTATAAAACCAAATTATACCCTTCCTTCGACTACAAAATTAAAAGAAGACGTGGTTATCCACTGAATGAGCAAAAGAATAAATATTTTGTGCATGTTTTCCACGAAATATAATTGAATCTTTAAGGGAATCGAAAATCAATGAAAAAATGCATGCTATTTAAGTAGTCATTTTTACAGAGTATGGTTTAGGCATGCAGCCGGAAGGAAGTTCGGCGAAATCCGGCATCCTGAGGCAAATGAATTATTATAGAATTGTACTGCACGATGATTGGTTTTACAACCCTACTTGATTAATCTTTTCGAAACGAAAACGGATTTCGAAATTTCGGCGGACATTTCACGATTTAGCCCACCTACTGTATGTTATCTCCGCCGCCCCCCGGGGACAGTCGCCCCAGATTCAGTCTGTTTTTTGTAATAAGGATTTCCCCCTTAGTTTCGTTTTGTATATAGGTCCTTTGGTAAAATTACTACTAGTCACCGTCTTATCCTGTCGGGCCTCGTTGTCTGTATATTTGCGTTAGACGGGAACGTTACAGCACGACAAAAACCTGCACCTGGGTGTACCGCCACACCCCATGGTTCACAACGTACACTGACCGGGATTTTATACAGCAAAAAAATTACATTAGGTGGGCTTACTCAGAAAATGTCAACCGAAATTCCGAAATGCGTTTTCCTTTCGAAAAGATTACTTAAGTAGGGTTGTAAAATTAGCCGGCCTGCGACATAATTCTATATTATTTCAGTCACATCAGGATGCCGGCTTTTGAATGAATCTCCATCCGGCTGCATGCTAAAACCACATTCTACAAAAAATGATTAATGATTAGCATGAATTTTCTCTCATTGATTTTCGATGCCCCAAAAAGTCCAATTACATTTTATGAACCGTATATGGTCCTCCTTTAGTACCGTAGAGAAATGTGTGGTTTTCCGTATGCGGAAAATATACGGCTTTTAGTTTGGAAACCCTGAATCAAAGTGTGACGATAGAGCGGATTCAAAATTATTCGGGAATTGGAAAAGTTTTTGAAAACCGAACTATGTCTCTCCTTCGAGCATAAAAATAGATGAAGACGTCATTATCTACCGAATGGGCCAAAGAATGAATATTTTTTGCATGCTTTCCACGAAATATAGTTGGACTTTTAGGGGTATAGAAATTCAATGAGAAAAGTTCGTGCTACTTAAGTAGTCCTTTTTTACAGAATGTGGTTTGGCATGTAGCCGGAAAAAAGTTCTTTCGAAAGCCGGCATCCTAAGGTAGCTGAAATATTATAGAAATATGTTGTAGGCTGACTAGTTTTACAACCTTACTTAATTAATCTTTTCGAAACGAAAACGCATTTCGGAATTTCGGTTGACATTTCACGAGTTAGCCCACCTACTGTTGGGAGTGTCGCGGATCCCGATTGGTGCGGTGTGAGACTGCAACGGGGCCTGCCACCGTACCCCCAAAATTTTGGCATTTTCTATGTGTGCGCAGCCCCATTAGCAGCTGCTGAACTCTAAACTAGCACGTCTACCAGGTGACCCGTTTAAGGGGGTCCAACTCCCAGCACAGGTTGTAGCTAAGTGCGTAAGCAGGAGTTTCGCCGATTTTGTGCTGCTGCACGAGTCCACACATAAATTTCTGAGAAAAGGGGAACGTTTAACGATAGAATCCGGAATACATACCAGAAAGCGCGTATTGGAACGCGGGGCTACGCACTGATGCAATGACCTCCGTCGTAGATGTGTCATGCAGCAGCAAAAATGCGCTGATGCATCTGTCTGGGCTTGTTGCTATAGCAACTGTGCCACCGGCACGATAGATCCACTACTATTCACTTTGCCTGTGGGCGGAATGTGAATATCACTCGATGGTTCCAATAAGCTGATAGATTTCGGTTTCAATATCCCAGCTAACTTTTAGACTAAGTGGGAGAATTATGTCCAAGTTTACACGCTAATATCTCAGGAAACTAAAAATACTAAAATATGGGCAAGTGTCGACACCACAAAACAATGATGTATTACCAGTTTACTATTGTCCAATGGCACTTGTCAAACATGTGCCTCGACCTACCAAGTCATTAAGTTATCCCAAGAGGACATTCAGTCGCACGAGAAAATTGAAACAAACGACTGTTGTTACACAAACTGCACTGAATGCGTGCAGCAGCTGTTGAGTTGGCGCTAAGGGATATGGCTGCCTTGTGCCTAATTTACGAGCTGTTTGGTTGGAGATATCACAAAATACCTCATGTTCATGGACTTACAAGCGAGGATCTTGACCCATGCAGCGCATGAAGGCGACAGCGATGCGACGATGCAAGTTCGTGTTCTCTGCAGCAATAGCCAGGATCATACCACCCAGAAAGAGGAAAGTCGAGCTCTATTTTTATTCGCGGGGACAGAAGGACGTACGTGAAATTGCGTAAAGGATAGAGAGAGAGACAATTAGCGAAATTCAGCCAGAACTTCTGAGAATCAAAGAGGAAATTTCATACTTTCGAACAACCCAAATGCGCCGGCGACTTACAGATGCGTATTCTTTGGCTATGACGGCACTGGGAACTAGTCCCATCAGCGGTGCAAGAACGAGCGGGAAGAGTGCGGTAACGTAAAGTGGTATGAAACCGGTTATCCAGAATCCGCTCATCAGCAGAAGAATATAGGCTGCCTTCGACTCCTAAATGGGATTTAAAAAGATAGGATGCGTAACATGACCCTTGGTGAAGAGATCTTCCAAATGAAAGAAACAAACTACAATCTCAATAATAAACTTCAGAAATCACTCAGTATGAACACTTGTGTTCATAAATGTTTGTTAACTGAGTCACGCGGAGGGGCATTTTGCTTCTTATAAATCTTTAAGAAGTCTTTGACTCTTGTTTTACTAATGCAGTTTCCACAGTACATCGTTGGTACTGCTTTCAATTCTTAGGGCGGGAAGTTAAAGATGGCATTGGTGAGAGAAGATTCATACGCAAATTCCTTAAAAGGCTTCAGTCAAATATGACCAGTATGGTGTTGGACATTGGTATACTTATACTATTTCACTTAAAAGCCTACAGAACAAACTGTTTTCATTTAAAGGCAATAAATCATGCTCTAAACTCACTGTTCCGCTGTTCCGAATGAGAATTGGCGACAGAATAATAGGATACGCTATGATAAATGCGTAACGAATGTAGAAGGAAAAAATAATAAGGCAACGATGAATCCTGAAGAGGCTCATTTCCTGAAAAGAGACAACACGAGAAATCAGCCATTTATAACCCGATTGCAAGTGAGCTTGAAAGGGTCACCCACTTTAAAGGTCAAAAATAGTGCTACACTTCTTCCCATACAACATAAAATCAGTACTCAGGTCTCGAAAAAATCCTATGAGACCAAGAGTGTATGATATAAAAAAATCCTTTCATTATTGCGAATATGCATGTGAAAGTAATTATTTGACATCTGGATAATGCTTTGGAGCGATCTACGCTTGAGTTGTTGCATAGAAGCAGCGATGCTACTGACATTTGCATGGGACTGTTTGACCAGCCGATCAGGAAGGGAGATTCTTGTAGGGTTTGAGCGTTTGAGAAAATAATGGAGATGGGATTTTCTTGTATTTAGGCATGCGAAATTGCTTTAAACTATGGTCGAATTTCTCATCTTAAGAGAACGAAGCAACAGAAAATTAATGTAGCAATCTGTCCAATCGCACAAACTAGAGTCCGTTCAGAATGTTACTTTTGTTTCCTCTTAAGCTTGGGTCAGGAGGTTATTTAGAAGTCATTTATTTCAATTTGCGGCAAATCTAAACCCAGCGCGGTTTTATACCCTAGGAAGTAATGGGAAATAGATACTGCCTTAAGCTGATATGGAGATGAGAACACACGGTAAGTTGCTGTTAAGGTTTGCCTTCTCTGCATATAGCTTAAAGGTATTTCAATAAATGACCGAATGTGCTCATAAGTAATTTAGTGTACATCGTGTTAATAAGTTCATTGTCCTTTCCTGAATTAACGCCTTATTTTTCAATGGCTATCCATCCAGGTTTTTTGTCTTGTTTTACCGGTTCGGTAAAGTTTGCTCGGTGCATTTCGGACACCTTGAAACTAACTGCTCAATTTGATTAAATATGATGTCCTCCAATAAGGTAAAACATCGAATATGTTTAGTAATTTCAGTAACAAAACGAATGCGCACTCAGTTTACGCAGCTGCGGCAAGCCGCGGCACGAGATCGGCGAAACACGTGTGTCTGGCTTTTAGCTAATACCTTTGTTGTTATTACGGTAAAATGATAACACAGTTATATACTACTGACTGCCTGCTGGCGGTTTGTGAATGTTTCGCGGTTATTTCTCAGAACCTGGCGAATTTCAGCTCAAATATTCATATCATATTTTGGGTCGTGCCTGAAAAGGTCTGTTCTAAGAGCCTTACTTCAAGTTCGCGCGTCGATGTCCTCGGAAATTTAACAAGGCGAGATAAAGGAGGTTTGCCGTTGAGAAGAGACATCTCAATATAGTACTGATGTTTTAGTTTACCTCAAAGTTCTGAGGGTTACACCAGGATCACCGTTATTTAATCCGAGATTTACAAAGCCATAACTAGATGACCGTGTTCCCTGTACGTGTATTATGGCCTAATTAAAGACAAAGTAAGTTTTGCGGGCCAATACAAAGTTTTTGAAATCAGTGGGATTTCGCTAGATAATTGGACGGTGATACTTCGTGTGAGCCTCAATTATTGGTTAAAAATTAACTCTAGTGTGCTTTTGGGAAAAAATGTTGAAAGTTACCTGAATTTCGAACTTAATTTTAAAGTATTCAAAATCCCATCAAGATTTGTTCGTGGTGCTCACATTCAGCTAAAGAGGCGCTTTAAAACCGTAAAATGACACTTTCAGAATTTGATTCCACAGGACAGCGTCTTGATTTTTTTCCGAACCCATGCTCCATGTCGCTTTTTCCTGCTAGACTAATCCTTGAAACTTGTGTGAACAGATTTCGATGTTTTACGTCTCAAGTCCAAGTGGTAATGGCAGATTGTGTCACAAAAACCTTCTACTGTTAGATTTTTATGGGTGAACATGCAGTTTTTCGCATAACTTGGCGAGTCCATTCTCAAAAATTATTTTTAAGTTCATAAATATTGTGTGGTGAAAACGGGAATCGTCGAAGTTAGCAATAAACGTACCACGTCCTTAGCCGGATAGAAGGTTGCGGCTTGACTCCAACTTATTAGATAACGACTTTTTCTGTCATAAATTGCAAAAGCATCCATTCTCGAACTCTTTTACCACGAAGGATTTTGAATTTCAAATGTTATTTCACATAGAATCTCATGTCTTTCTGATAAATGGCGTCGTGCATTCAAAAGATGTAATTTACAGCTTAAAAAGCAGGTTTTCCAGAATTTTTTGTTCATTTTTATATCCAAAATATGCAAATAATAGGCTTTAGCGCAAACAGCGCGGAGTTTAGGCAAATGTTTTACAATTGTGCTCTACCTATTTTAAACCGGAATTCAAGTGTAGTAGGAATAAGCTCACAATGTGGCCGTCCAAGTTTGACGAAGTAGTATTCGTCAAAATCAATAGAATGAACAGAAAATGTTTTAGATTGTATGGAGGAATCCTTATATGAATTTAAAACTCTCGATTTCTAAAGATATCAAAGTTCTGGGATGACTATTAGGCTAATAAGTGACTCTGTACCACAACAGACGTTTAAGTATTTTACTCGACGCTACGTAGACGAATCCTAGAAAAGAAGTCTTAATCCACGTGGATTGATTCTAAGGTTGACGAGTTTGAAGAGTTTGAGATTATTATGTCCGCTGGTGTGATGAAATCTCGTAGCACACGATCAGGGAAATCCATCCTTTTGGATACAATCAGTAGCAGCGAATTTCAAGAAAGATCACTGGCCACTTCCGCATTCACTTTAACTTAAGGCGAAAGTGTAGGTTCCACCTGAATTGCAATGGCCCGCGTACGTAGGGAATTTTCGTTTAAGCGGCAACCATTTGAGCCATATCAACACTTAGAATGAAGACCGTGAACAGGCATTGAAATGAATGAGCAGAATGTATGCTTTTCAAATAATTGAGACTGAAGAAAGTGGTCGTTGGCCAAGCTGATTTTAAAACCCAGTGCGGCCAGGGCATGCTTACTCATAGCATACACCTGGAGCGAGTCATGATGACGTTGCTTTTCATTGTATCCTCCTTCTCCTTCCAGTGACCCGAATCTCTCGAGTTGCATGATGACTATAGCCATCTTCTTTAGAATTAAGACAAGTAAAGGGTCACTTCATGACTGAAAGGTGTGTATACCTAGACGAAGTCAAAATTTACAATTGCTGTTAATAGTATTTAGCCCTAAAGGAATCTTTATACTTTTGAAAAATATGTGCTATTAACCCTCATCGGGTGAAATGGCATAAAATCCGGAATGAAAACGTTGCAACGACAAAATTAACAAATGAATGGTAAAGAATTTACCGCCAGACCAATCATTTCCCAATTAATGGGAAGTTAAAAAATTACTTAGGTTTTTTGTCAAAAAAATTTGTGAAATCGCGTTTTTAAAAAGCAACTATAAACAGGATTTTCAAATTTATTTTTTTTATTACATGAATTTGTCAAAAGTTCCAATTCCGCCTCTGTGAATAGAATTTTAAACCACTGAGTTAAAATGTAACCGAAAGACTACCAGTTTTAGAGAGGACTGAGGGATTTCAAGCTCGTTTGATCTGAAAAATCTGTTGACAGTTGAGTTAATTCAGCCAAGCAGTTCACTATTTTACGAAGTCAGGTTAAAGCTCGCCGGTAGACAGGCCACAAATGCCAACGTCGTCCAAAGCCTTGGAAGGGACTGGCGTTTCACCTGAAAGAATCGGAAACCTGATTCGACGAGATTACCTTACAGCTAGAAAAGTGATCTACAGAAGTCGTCTCTCATAAGAAACCGCACCAACGAGGCCACCGCCCTGAACATAAGCGCAGATGCTAGCTCTCCTCCTGCAGACGAGAGACACGGACGACGGGCTTATCAACGCGCTTAAATAAAACAGATATTGCTTGTCTAGTGACTTACGCCTGCAAAGACACCGTTCTCTGCGGTGCACATGGAGCGAATGAAGTCACCTGCCACCGTGAGTCTTATTGCTACGGGCTAGACTGTGAAGTCAAAGTCCGAACAAACAGTGCTCACTGCGTGGACGTCATTGTGATTTTTTATGCACGCCAAAAATCTAGGTCGCTCCAAAGGGCCCCTAGAGTGAATGAGAGGGCATTCTGCAGTAGGGGGTCCAAATCAACAAAACGCTGAGATGAGCGGCGCTTTTTGAGCACTGCACTCAAGTGCAGCAAACTGTTTTTTTTTTCATTTTAAATAAATATTATACTCAGGCGTAAGTGGCGATTAGAGATCAGGCATGATTGGGGGATAGGCAAGGGGTCCAGACCTTTTGACATTATGAGATTCGTGACTTGCGAGCAATAATTGAGAAATATTCCACGAGAGCGGCGGAAATGGTCTGACAGGACTCCAGATTAAGAGCCACAGCGAGATGAAAAGGCAATATTTCACGCATGTTTTGAGAGACAAAAAAGAACTCTTACAATTAAATAATCATCTTTCCTGCCGAGTGGAGTAGATTAGTGTGAGAGAGTGAATAATAGGAAGTTTCATCGGGAGGACTAAGGCATTTTCCTTATCTATTTTTCATGTAACCGGCCGGTAAAATGAAAAAAACACATGTGAAATTCTTCAAAGAATATTTTAAAAAGTGTTGAATTTCTTTTGCCACACAAAGTGGCTTTGTTTTGAAATGTGAAGCTGGAAAACACATGCTTTTGGTAATTCACCATCAGGCCTGTAGTGTTACATAGACACTATAAAATATAAAACATTCACAGAGTTTATAAGTGTCTCAGGGGTTATTAACACTCATCGTTCCAATGTCGCGCACATCTAGTGATCAGCTTGCTATGGTCTTTCGGGCAATTGGATCCAAGGATTGGTAGGTAGAGTGCGAGGCGTCTGCTTTCCTTAAACTGTTGAAGCAAAACTCCAGCAGTTGTGGAACATACTTCGCAAAACACATACTCAGGAAGATTTATCCTCCGTACTGCGCACTCCAAAGCCTACCGCGACAACTGCAGAAAAGAAAGATTGCTGATAGAAGCGAACAGGCGAGTTCCAGGCAGCAGTTTAGAAAACGAGAATGGGAGC